ATTGTTTTCTCCTGACTAGATCCTTGCTTGTGTTGTATCTGCTCTCAGATGTACGTCGCTTTGGATAAAAGCGTCTGCTAAATGAAATTGTAGAATATGTATTGTCTGCGTTATCAGGGACTCCCAACCAGACTAATATATGGCTGATTAGGAGCTACAGTAGTAAAACAATACAAGAAATGGCAAAGACATGTTGATCAGAACCACAAAGATAGAACAAAGATATGTTTCCCTCAACGTGGAACTGAGAATTAGTTGTATAGAAACCCTTTTTTTTATTTAGGTCAGTCAAAGGATTCACACAATATCCACATGCAGCCACAGCACAAGTGCCACTGCAGACTAATTTTACACTCTTTTGACGGGGCTGAAGTTCACAATGGAAAACTAATCACATTAACACTAATAAATCTGCTATCTGTGTCACTGTGAATGAATTATTGTCTCTGCTCTAGATTTACTTTCAGCCCCATTTCAGTCTTGTCATATCTGTTGCCTTGTGTTCTTCCATCTGCTACGTTTTGTTCTCTTGCCTCGCCCCGTCTGTAAAAGAGGTTTCCAGTCTGAAGGCACAGAGTACGCTTCTTCAGAAGTGCTTGTGGAGTGGTTCGGTTTCTTTGGAAACCCCCTCCCCTAACATCCCTCTGATGTTGGACTGAGGAGGGGCCCTGAGTCTGACCACTCCCCTAAGTTTCCAAACCGACGGTCTGACCTGCACACCCACTGAGGTCTGTGTGGCTCTCTGTTTTGCAACTAGACCAGAACTAAACCATGAACTCGGGCTCTGGGTTATGAGCTGTTACATACCTGACATGTCGCATGTATGGGTGAAATATTTTGCAAAGGTGGATACACAGTGCTGGTGGAGGGACGCATGTTAAAAATGTAAAGCCAGAAATTGGTTTTGATACATTTCAAGCCATCTGAAATGAAGAAATGTCCTCAAAAACAAGAAGTCCAGTATGTACACCCTGTGACTGAAACACATTTAAGAAATCAGCCATGAGAAGGACAGAAACAAGAAAAATATGGATGTCGATCAGCAGTATTCTGTAAGACTAGATGGTTTACTTAGAAACAGCCATGTCCCTGTAGCTTCAATTTAGTCCACAATGAAACATAAACAGAAGCTACTCTGAGATATTCAAAGAGAAAATGGATGCTGGTGGCCTGACCAACTTAATACAAAGACCAAGCCATTTGATAGCAGCTGATCTGACTGATACAAACAAAACCTACAAATGTCAGGAAAATAAATGTTTGTTTTCTGAACAGCCTCACTGTCCCAGATTTCATGGTCTCTCTTAAACTCTCAGCCCTTCACACTGAACCTGACATACCTGTATCAAAAACAAAAGTAGGTGAACTTCTGTTTTTCAAAGGTTTCCACAGCAGGACCTGTTGTATTTGTCAGCAGGGGAGCACCATTGAGTTGATAATTAACCATTTTATGGCTTTTACAGCTGGGCGGAGTGCACCATGACAGTCCAATTACATGACCCGTGCGCAAATTCATTGGCACACACACTCAATGAATGGAAAAAAGGCATTGCATTGTGTCCTGCAGCAAGGCTTCCCTGGAAACCCGCCATGACACAGCGTAGATGAAAAGCAGAGTTTCCTGTGCCGTAATGGCCATCACACCATATTTCACAAGTTTCGCTTCCTGTTGTACAATTCATTTCCAGAAAAACTATGAATCCTGCCACATGAAATTTTACATGCTGGATTTTTAAATTTCACAATTTTCTAGCCTCGTTAAGCAACGCCGTTTCTGAGGAAGCCTGGATTTGGACAAAGTAAAAGTAAACATTTGTCGTTGCGGAGAGACGAAACTAAATAATCCTGGATTACAGAAATGAAACATGTTTGAGCGGGAAATAATGGGAACTGAGTGGTGGAAAAGGAAAAGCACAAAGAAGTGAAGAACGAGGATAAAGACTTGAAGAGGAAAAGTTTGTCCTCTTGACATTTTTCCAACAAATAATAAACATGCATGAGTTGAGCGAATACGAGACACACAGCTGGAGGTTTTACTGCTAGTTCAAGCCAGATAAAGTAGAAACAACAGAACTGGGGATTTTTGTGGTTCTGTAGGTCATTAGGATAGCCCAAACTTTGCAATGTTTTTACCTTAAAGTACATTCAGATAGAAAACATCTGCATTGATGAGGCTGAACTGCTTCTGTTGAGTTTTATCCTACAATCCAGGAAGAATCATTTAATTACATATATATATAAATCTGAAGGCTTCTCAGAAAGACAAAAACATGAGGTAGGTAACGATCGTGAGGTAAACAGCACAGATGTAGTATTTTTGTTTACAACAAGGAACGAGCTTCTGCATTTACATGACATTACACTGCACTGTGGCAAATGTTGAGCCAACTTTTTTTCCCCCACCCTTTTTGTTGTTGTTGTTTTTGTCATTGTTGTTTTTGGCCCAAGCGGTCTCCTTTGGGAGCAGCTGCTTTTTTTTTTCGCTGAATTTATTAGTGGTGACCTCATATCTAAGCCAGGCTCTCTCGGAATGTACAAGAAGAACAACAACGTGATCAGAAAAGCCCGTCTACTTCTCCTGCCACCAACATACTATGTACAATGTGCGAATGACATTGACCTGTTATTATGTTGATTATCCCGTTAATCCGACTGCTAGTAAAGCAACTCCAGTGCTGCCACATGAGCAAACACTAGCATCCAGTTGGCAGTAAAGCTACTAGACACATTCAAAAACTGCTACTAAAACTTCTGCCACTACTAATCCCAAGTTCCACCTGTAAAAATAACAGTACAGCTGCTACCTGCTTCGACATTTCAACTAAAAGCTGCTACAATAATCATTAATTATTGATTATAATTGTATAACAATGGCAACAATGCTGCGTTTTCAAGACACAAACCAAACACACCTCCTCAACGCTCCTCTCTGGAAATCTGTTTCGGCAGGCGAGTAAACAAGATCATCTGATTAAGACTAATTAAGATACAGAAGCTCCACATGTAGTAGATTACTGTGAAGCCACTTTACTGCTATGACTGTTTCTGCCCACACCACATCCTACTCACATAAAAACTGCACACGGGGAAAAATATGTTGTTGTTTTTTTTTCCTACCAGCTGATCTTCAGGATCATTTCACTTCTTTGGACCAAAAAAAATAAATAAAAATTAAAAAGTTTTTAAAACACAACTTAACATCATCATGACATCCGTCCATCTGTCTGTCTGTCTGACCAAGCTCATAGTTTTATACCTCAGCTGGTGAGATGTAACCGCACAATAAATAACCGTCTGGTGTCATTGGGCCTGAACGGCCTGATTCACTCGTTAATGTGAAATGTCTGGAATGGGAATCCATGTCAGTGTCAAACTGGGGAGAGGAGACGGAGAGCAAAGGAGGATGAACAAGTCACACATTTTTACTTATGTGCTCATTAGACTTCATTCAGTTTTGCTCATTTATGTGTAGAGGGAATTTATTTTTGTGGGGGAGGAACAAACGAAGGAAGTAACTAAGAGGGAGACAAAAATGAGACGTGTAAGGACAGGAGGAGAAAGAAAAGGAGTTAACGGAGAAAAAAGATGAAAAGAAGACAGAGGGAGGGAGAGATAGAAGACGGGATGAAAGGAAAGGAATGAGACAACTACGGAAGTTCAAAAGGAGAGGAGTAAAGAGTGAGGGAGAAGAGAGGAGTGGAAAAATATCAAAGTGTGAAAGAGAAGAAAGGGAAAGCTGGAAAGAAACGCAAGAGAGGGGAAGAAAGAAGCAGGAGAACAGAGGGAGGGGAAAGGAAGGAAGCAGTATGATGAAGGGATGAAATCATGGAAAAAATAGAGACAATGAAGGAGTGAAAGGAGGATGGAGAAAAGAGGAGGAGGTCAAGGTTTGGGGGAGAGAAACAAATTGGGATAAATCTAAAATAAAGAAAGAGAATTGAAGAGTTCATTTGCGAAAACAGACAACTCCATTTTTGACTCAGTAGAAATGACAAAAATGGAGATAACTTAAGTTTGATATTGTCTCAGGTAGACGATGGTTTTCTGAAGGTTTGGGAAGATAGAGTTATCTGTTTTTACAAATGGACTCTTCAGATATAAAGAAAAAGAGCAAAAATAATGATGAAGAGATGAAAGAAGGATGAAAAGTGAGAGAATAGGTTTTGGTAGGAAGGAAAGAGGAAAAAGGGAAGGAGACGAGGGAGGATGAAAGGAAGCAAAAGTGGAAAAGAGCAAGAGGTAGAAGAGGAAGGGAGTGGAAAAAACTAGAGGAGGAAAAGATGAGGAGAAGATTGAGGAAGAGAAAAAAGAGAGAAGTAAAGAAGGAGATGAGGAAAGGATGGGAGGAAAGGAGGAAAGAAAGGAGATAAAAGGATGAAAAGAATAAAGAGAGAGAGAGAGATAGAAGAGAGCGAAACAGGGTGACAAAACTATGAAGAATAAAGAACGGAGGAAGGAAAAGGAAGAAAGCAGCATGATGAATGGATGAAAGAAATAGGAGATGGAAAAGACGAAGAGAAAGAAGGGAAATGTTACAAAAGAGGAATGAAAGAAGAAAATGCAAGAAGGAGATGAAGGTGTGGAGAGTTAGGAGGGTTAGATGGAGAGGAAAGAAAGATAAAAGAGTTCAAAGAGTGGGAAGTTATAGGTGGAGGAGTGGATGGGAGGAAGGAGGAAAAGAGAGAGGAGGAAGAGGAGGAAGAGAAACTGGAGGGGGGAAACCAGTGAGGAGGAGGAGGAGGAAGAAGGGAGGAGGAGGAGGGGAGGAGGGGGGAAGCCTGTCCTGTTAAGGCAGAGCAGCAGCAGCAGGGGTTGCTAGATTGCATCATCGCGAGGATCAGCCTTCTAAAAATAGGATGACGTCACCCCTGCTCTTACCCCCTCTTCCTCCCTCCCTCCCTCCCCCTTCTCTCTATCTAGTAGGATTCCAGGTTGCGTCACTGACCCCGCCCCCCTCGCGGGCCTATAAAAGCCGGTGATGCAACGGAGCGGCCACAAGCGCAACTGTTAACCACCGAGAGGAAGCGAAACACGGGAGGAGCCGAGCGGCTGCGCAGTTATAAGAGACAGCAGTGTTTTATTCACCCAGCTCATCCGATCCGGACACCCACAGCTTTACCAGGTAGGTGCTGTTGTTGTTGTCTGCTCTGAGGTGGGGGGTCTGACGGCTAGAGGAGCCGGTTAGAGCGACTCCGGTGTCCCGGTGAAGCAGCGGAGGAGTCCCGGTGCCTCCGAGCGTCCCGGGACGCTTCAGCAAAACTTCAACACGCGACTGTGTTGAATTAAAAATATGAAAGAGTGGAACTTTTTGACACAGGTTGAAATGAAAAACAATCAAATAAGTTGTTTGTCATTGAGATTTTTTTTCATTTTAAATACTCAAACTTAGGATTCGTCAAAAAAAAAAAAAGACGTACAATATTATTATTCATTATTTATAAGTTTATTATTGATGTCACGTTTTCACTGAGTTAGATTTTGTAACAAATATCAGTCCTGATCACAACAACCAATCAGTCATTCGTTTTCAACTTTTTGACTGTTTAGATGTGTTTGTTTGTGTACATGTTGTCACTGTTGTATTGTGTTATTTTAAAAAGGAAAACACAAGAACAGTTTCCCCCAATATATTAAGTGCTAGCTATTATTATTATTATTGTTATTATTGTTATTATTGTTATTATTGTTATTGTTATTGTTATTATTATTGCAGTGTCACATTAAAAAAAAACTACAACCCACATCTAGAACCAAAACTGAAATAAAAAATATTGCATAATAACCAAATATTTCCTGGATGCCATTCATGTTTGTGTTTTATAAGTATTTGGAACTATTATGAAGATCATTTTTCTGCTTTCTAAACTAACTCAGAGAACCACTGTAGTTGTTTAAGTGACTTTAACACAAGCAGCAGCAGCAGTCTCTTCTTTCCACCATACTGTGTCTGTCTGGCTGTTATATAAATGTGTTTGTGTGTTTTGGTGTCACAGAGCTGATATAGGCGATCAAGCCGTCATAACTCCCCATTAGTCATTCCTCTGTTTAGACAGTAAACATCCACGCCTATTAATGATTCTCGCTAATGTTTTTATGGCGTTTTTCCAAACGGCAAACATTTGCTCAAGCCCAGACGGCTCTTCAATAAAGCATATTTGCCTCCGTGGCAATAAATTGTGGTCTTAACATGTCATCTTGATGTTTTAACAACTTCATCCTGACTTTTGTTTATATATTTCTCAATTCTGCAGAAGTCTGTATTGTTATTACTCAACCAAAAAATAAATAAAAATCACTCATAGATTGTCAATAACTTGTTTGTGGCTCCTCACATGTGTTTCGAGGGGATCTTAGGTGTTTATAGTCTCATATAATATGACAACAGTAACTTAATGTGTGTTTGTCCTACTTAGTATTGAGCTTGTTGTATTTTATATCTTATTCAAATAACTTTTAGTAATGGGTTCATAGGAGCTTTTAATACTATATTATTTATCTCAAGGGTATTTATCATTGCTTTCTTTTACAAATGTATGTGTAGATTATTTTTTTTATGGCTCACCTCAAAATCTTGGTGACTTTCTTAACCCTAAGTCAACTCTTTTGTTTCCAGAATGATGCTGCAGCACACTGGTCCCTCGCTGGCTGATATCAGCTGCTCCGCCTTGGTCCCCTGCCTCTCCCCGCCGGGCACGCTCACCCTGGACGACTTCACCAACTTCACACCCATCGTGAAAGAGGAGCTCCGGCTGGCCATCCAGACCAAGCGGCTGTCCAACGGGCTCAGCGCTGACATGAGCTCCGACGGCGCCAGCTCCAGCTCAGACCGAGCCTACGAGCGACCTGCGTGCGGGGCCGGGGTCAAGAGAGAGGTAAGGCTGGAGGGGAATCACAACATGTACTCATCTGTATTTTTGGAATCAATGAGTGTGTAGTTTTTTTTTTGTTTGTTTGTTTTTAACAATCTATATTTCTGTCTGGTTGTCAGGTAGCACCAGAGGAGCACGAGAGGAGGAAGAGGAGGAGAGAGAGGAACAAAATCGCTGCTGCCAAGTGCCGCAACAAGAAGAAGGAGAAGACGGAATGCTTGCAAAAGGTATCGTCCATCAACCTGTGGAGCAATAACTGAGCTTCTAGGCTTTCAGATTGTGTACCAGAAAGACTGACATTCTTGATTTAAAGCAGAAAGTTGCTGCATGTTTTCTGGTGGTTGACAAAGTACAAAGCAGCTTGCCTATCCAATTTAATTTATGTTAGTGCAGCATTAACTGAATTCCCTTCCTCTTTTGTCCTCTCTTCTCTGCAGGAGTCAGAGAAACTGGAGAGCGTCAACGCCGACTTGAAAGCTCAGATTGAGGAGCTGAAGCAGCAGAAGCAGCAGCTGGTCTACATGCTGAACATGCACCGGCCGACCTGCATCGTCCGAGCCCAGAACGGCCAGACGCCCGAGGACGAGAGGAACCTTTTCCTCCAGCACATCAAGGAGAGCACCTTACAACTCCACAACCTCACCACCTCCTCCTCGTCCACATCCACGCTAGCGCCGCTCGACGGAGGACTTCTGACCCTCGATCACATTCACTGTCCCAGTCACCTATGAGCGACCGGGTGGTTTTTCTCGCCACTTTTCCAAGACTTGCAATCCTCCCACCGTCTGCCATCGATGTAGCACAGACTGTTCGAGCCACAGGTGGAGTTGCCACATTGACTTATGACCTGACAGTGAAATGTAATCACCTCCGGACGACTCCTGGGTCTCATTCACCGTCCACAAAGCTGCTAGAGAGAGTGAGAGTGCCAGACAAGTGACTTCAGCATGCTCCCGCTCCTTGAATGCATAGCTGCTGATTGAATGGGATGTGACATGCACTGGACAGCACCTTGATATGCATTATGTGTTTTGTTCATTACAAACAGTCAGGGCCAAGGTCCGATCTTAAAGCCCTAAAAACTAAAACAACAACAGCTTTTTTTATATTTACTGATATTTTCAGTAGTTAAGGGTCTGATTTAGTGTCTGATTTTTGTACCAAAGTGTTTTCAAGGTGATCCAGGCACATAATATAACTGTTCGCCCACAAAGAAAGTAGATGCAGGTTGACCGTGTGAGTGTGTACAGACGTTTGAGTGTTTGAGCTGCAAGTCACTGACTCTAAAAGAGCGTTGTTTGTGCTTAGTGTATGAAAAATATTATATTTATTAAATGACTGCTGTATGATATGTTGTGGCTGCATCGACCCTGTCTGCTTGTCCTTTATACAACGTGAACGTTACTAAACCTGCTGCTACCACTAACCACTCAGGACCTATGCAGGCTGTAGAAGTTCATTATGTTTTGTTTTTTGCCTAATTTAAGAATACGAGTCAGGTTATTTGCTGTTAAACAGAAAGCAGTAGCAGTCACAAAAGGGAAAGGTACTTTGCAGGCAGGGTTCGCTAAATAATTCTGCCCTTAATTAAATACCCTCGTACAAATGACGATGTTGTCATATATGCCGATGATATGTTACTTTACCGACGGATTTGAGATTTGCTGGTGAACAAAGTTGTCCAAGAAATGTAATACTGTACATTACTCTACATGACGAACACTTTATTTATCACTGCGTTCCCTCTTAACAAATCTAATGTTTCTTTATTATTTTTTACATCTTCTGTGACGATGAAGCTACATGAATACGAGTGTTATTTTTCAGGTGTGTTGTTTTCTACCTAAAAAGTCTTGTACATTGTATCGACTGCCCATTAACTCTGTGCTGCTGTGTGTAAACACCGGATGCCTCCTTTGGTCTCAACAGAGCAAAGAAAAGAAAAAAAAAAAGATTGTTATTTTTAAAAATGTATTTATTAACAACATTATGGTTTGGATGTTGTGTTCATTGTATGTCATTAGCGAGATAACGGAAGTGTTGCGTCAGGTCACTGCTGGTCCTCTAACACGCCAGACTCTGAAGTTATGCAATGAAATGACATATTAGTGAGTGTTATGAACTTAATCAGTATCCAGGCTTAAACGCGCTGCCAAATATGAGTCCCTCCTTCCACTCCCTTTTCCATTCTCTGACCTTTTATGCTTAGATTTAGATTATCCCTCGAAGCAAATGTGATTTATTGTGCAAACAGAAACTAAGACAGCATATTTATCAAAAGTTTATGGGGTATTTTCTTTCCAAATACTAAGAACAGAAGTGTTTTAACAGTAAGCAAGACGCTAAACAGTATTGGAAACTCTGGTTATTGGTATCTGAATAATCACACTTCATCAAGCTTTACGTATTAGCACATAAGAAACACCTCAACAGAGAGAGAGAAGAGATAGTTTATGATTTTTCATCAGCACATTATCATTGTTCATGGATTGGACTGAAGTTTTTCCTTTTTGGTTTCAGAGAAGAGGGTTTGTCGTGTGTTTTATGTGAGTCGAAAAACTTTGAGAGTCACACTGTTAACGGGACGCAGGCGTCTGTGTGTGTCGTGTAGTTGTTGTCTTTGTGATGAAAGCTGTCCGTTGTCCCAATGCTAGTCATGACTAGATAGCTACTGAGCACTGAGTTTGACTCATATGTATTCTATTGTGCCTATTTCACCTACTGGAGGCTGTATTTTTCTCATTTGTTCCTTTAGCTGCTCAACTACCGCAGCATCATAGCCCGAATGAATAAACTGTAGGACGTCAGGTACAACTGCACTGCTACTACCACTGTGTACTTCCATCTTTGTGATTTGTCGAGTTTTGTTTTTGATACTTTGTTAATTAAAAAACGTGTAAATGATCCTCTCAGGTTGTCATTTTTGGAAATCATATGTGGAATATGTGATTAATGAATGATCTATAGAAAAAAAAAATCTATAAAACATGGCAAAGCTGCATGAAATGGGAATGGAAAGCTGATTTCATGTAATAATTAGAAATTAAGTTGCCTTGTTTTTCCAGAGTTTGAACAAATTGGTAAAATTAGGACGAATTTAATCTGACTTAGTTTACGTTGACTGAGTGCAGTTTGTCTTGCACCCCTGTACAATCTAATGCAATATTTGTGAAGCTCTTCTGTAATATTTTTCATTTTATAACAATGCCAGAGAAGACATTTGATTTGACTTGCTGGTCACTTCTGCAACTGCAGTTTTTCTAAGGATTGTAAGTCAGTTCCATCCACCATCCACCCTGGTGTTTGTCATTAATTCTTATTCTTGTTATTTTTATAATATATATATGAAAGGCTGAATATATTTAATGAGAGGCTGAATATATTTAATGAAAGTCTGAATATGTATATATAAGGACAAACTGTGTGTAGAATTATGTAAGTCAGGGAAAACACTGTTTCCTCAATGTAGACGCTCATTTAAAAAAAGAAGAAAAGGAAAACAAAAAGGAAAGCATACATTCCCAGATAGATTGAGGGAAGCTGCTGCCCTTTTGTGTTATGAAAGTGGAAACTTTCATAACACAAACACGAGTTCACCTACAGACTTCCTGCATGTGAGCTCAGAGCAGCTGTGAACTGGTACAAGACCGGACATGTCGACTGTTCAGAGAGAGAGAGGCAGAGGGGGTGGATGGTTGTTATCTATGACAATATCCTGTGAAATACTGCTCAGGATAATTGCACCAACCACCAGCAACCACCGTGTACAGCATGACACGCAGTAAACAAAGATAACCAGTTACTGAGGAATCAAAATATGAAACTAGTTTTGGCATGAGTTATGGCACGTTTTATCACAGTGATTGTTAGACAGTGGTATGAAATATGAAAAAGCACTGAGCCTTGTCAACCATATCATGACCCAAATTTGTTGAAAACTTGATGAAATATATGATAAAAACTTCTGCATTCAGATGACAAAAACGATTACATTTCAGCTATTGATTTCTACTTTAACACGTCATACAAGATTCCAACAATCACTCTTAATTAAAGTCAGTTAAGTGAACAGCTAATTACCCAATTACACAAGAAGCATGTTGTCCTCAAGCAATACATTTCCCCCTACTTGGTTCACCACCAACACTTATTTAATAAACACTGAGAGTCACTGGATGCAGACTTGCTTGTCTCTACTTGAATGCTGACATCTGACAACCTGCTGGGCACGAAGAGAGGACGGAAACAAACACTGAAGTGCGTAAACACTGTACCATCATCTAGAATTTCCAAAGTAATTCTGAAACATCTACGAGCAGATCCGGCAAAACACGTGAGCCTGGAGAGTGCACTGACTTTACGTCGCTGTCCATCTCACAAAGGTACCTCGGTTAATATTGCAACCTTTAAATATTGGATTTCAAAGCTGACTTAATGTAATTAAGAATAAAAGAAAAGCATTCGGAGTTAGAAAGTTCAAATGACTTGGCTTTTTTCATAAGAAAGCAGAATCAACCAGAGTGAGAAAGTGGCTGCTGCGCTGTTTTATTAGGGCGGTGTTTCAACCTGCGTCCATGTTGTTTGATACAAAACTGGTATGTTAATTACACCTTATGACAAATCCAGGAATCACATTCCTCCCTGCACATTTCAACTCCTGCTTCTTCCTCTGCCTGCTCTGTTGTTCTGGCTTTGTCCCATCATAGCAGGCCTGATCTGTTCCACTGTATTTATTTAAAAATAGCTGTGCTTTTGTTTTTTTTTTGGCAAAATACAAGAAAAAAACAACCATTAAGTTAGTCGTTTATATTTGTTCATATATGATTAAATAATCAGCCACATTGTGACAGCAATTAATAAATCAGGTGTTCTGCTGATGTAAAGAAATAAATCCGTTATCTGTGGCAGTAACAAGCCAATCATTGCATTCGGCCCACGTGATTGGTTGGATGACCCACCTGCCTGATTAACTACGTACCTGCTCAGGGCATATCACTGAGTCTACAAGGCTGACTGGAAACAATTCTAAAGCTAGAGAGGAAATAGCAAAAAAAAAAAAAGCATGGCAGACAAACAGCAGCTGCATACGAGGTGTGTCAGAAAAGTTCCAGGACTGGTGTCACAAAAGACTCAAAACTACCAGCTTTCCCCCTAAGACGATCAACCAGCACGTCTACAAAGAGATCCTGCGGCGTTTGCAGGACAGGTCGTAGCTGCTTCACTATGACAACACGCCTGCATGGTGGCGACTGTCAAAGTGTCGGTAAAGCGATGCCTTGGTTGGTCTTCCTTTGTTGGATGGGTAACTGTTTGGTTGGTTTTGCTCTGTGTTATGAGGTTTCTGGGTTATGATGAATGAGATATGATGTAGTTTAAATGCACCAAGCTGCTCTTCCACCAACACTCTCTATCGTGGGTTAGTCCTCCGGTTGGTAGGTTGTTTTGGACGACTGGCTGGTGTAATATGCTTTGATAATCTAGTTTACTTTATTGTTTCTGCACCCTCAAGAACACCCAGACCTGATTGATGTTGAGCCAGACGACAACTTTTGTTGTGAAAAATCATGTATTCGTGGCCCTTTGAGAAGGATCTTTATATTTTTACAATTGGACATTCTTGCTTGTCAGACATGGAAAGGAAAAGGTGCAACTGTTAACATTTATGCTACCACAGGGATAACTACTAACATTAACAATAGCACTGATTAAACAAATAATCAATAACAACTTACAGCATCAGTGATAGAAAGAATTCAACTTATAGCATTAATGATTGCACAGGGGAAGCTACTGATGGTATGACAGCACGTGTGCAACAAACAGCAGCTGATGCCGTAGTAGTAGATGCAGATGAAGTCTCTAATCAGTTACAAGTTAGTTGCAAGTCATTGCGCCTTTAGGGTCCATTACATTAAGTATATTCCAAAGTACAAGAAGTTAGACTCTGGGAGAAATGTCTAAAAGTGTGGTGGGAAGCCAAAAGTGTCTGATGCAGTATAAAGAATGTTAGAGTCTAAGAGGAATGCGAGGATCAAATCAAAGACCATCCTGATGAATCTGAGCAGCAACATTTCAGGACACTCCAGCAGACGCCCAACTACGCCTGTTACCACTGACCTGGACCCAAGGACGACTCTGCTTCTTCAAGACAGAAGCACAAAGCTCACCAGGACTAGAAAGCTTTTGGTCATCAGTGCTGTGGACAGATAAGATGAAAGCTGAGTTGTTTAAACACAATAATATGGCTCTCATTTGGTTAAAGAATGGAGAAGCGTTCAACCGAAGAACACCGTCCCCACAGTTATGAATGTGATGCTTCAAGGGTGTTTTTCAGTCGATGGATCAAACGATCTTGTCCAGGTAAATGGCGTTGAAAGAAAAGATGACGGCATTATTAAGACAATGATTTGAAACATTTAGCCGCAGTGATCGAGAAATGGTTTACAGTAATCAACGCCAATACTCTGAGTACCATCAAGAATCTGTGGAGGAACTAAAGACCAGAATGACTGCAAGGAAGCCTTCGAATCACAAAGACCGGGAGATCATCACAAAGAGAAGTGGACTAAAATCCCAGTGGAGTCATGAAGAAAGAATGTCAGCAAATACAAGAACTGGTTGAGTGTTGACAATCATTATAAAAACAACAACAATGTAGAAGTCGTTAAAATGTAATATTAACGTTTCCAACACTATGTCTTATTGTCTTTTGTCAAGTGTTTATGTCATTTTCATCCAGAACGAACCTGTTGGTCACATAAGGATTCACTGTAATTCAAAGTATAAATGATTTTGGGATTAACTGTACATTTTCTGTCACATCTGTGTGAGTACTTTTGGCCAGCTCACTACTCACTTCTATAAAAGGAGAATGTGAAAAAGATCATATCTTCTTAAGACATGTTTACGGAGGTGAGTCCAGGTTCAGCTGTCTTTTCTGCAGGCGCTTTATTAATTGGTTTATTGGGAATGCTGTGAGCAGAAACATCCGTGGAGTGAACAGCATCTGACATGAAGGTGCTTGTAACCTAAACAAGACTCTTCAAAACTTTTTTTTTTCTTTCTGTTGTCTTAATTCAGGAATAACCAAAACCGACGTATTGCTTCACATGTAGTTTGTTCTTCAGACTGTTACTGTAATGTACAAACTTTTTGTACACTGTGCTCACAAGTGGTTTGTTTTTCTGCATTTTACAAGCTCTTTTTGGAAAAGTACATCATTTGGTTCACTCATCAAGCGGAAGCAGAAGGGGGAAGTCCAAGTTTCAACACACCCTGAGTACTGTGAAAAGCAACCGACTGTACAGCACAGCTTATTCTCGGTTCAGCTTGGGGTCAAAACTGAGGTCAACACTATTTAAACTGTTCCAGAAACAGATTTCAGGTTTCACCTCTTAACTTTGATCACACTGATTATAAACCAACATGTTTCTGTCTGGTTTTATCCAAGTGCAGTGAAACCTGAAATCATGAAGTATTGTGGCCTGTGGTCCAGACCAGTGCTCGCTTCTCTCGAGCATATTGTGTAATATTAGGTCAAAGTACACACACACACACACACACACACACACACACACACAGAAGGGCGGAGGGTGAACTGGAGAGGGAAGACGGTTTGTCATTCTCTCGATTGAGGGGGAAACTGATGTAATTCAGTCACAAGCGGAGGCAAGGTGACTGATGAAACACTGGTGTCATAATCTTTGACCAACAGATTTCTGTGTGGTGAGGTCAGAGGTCACAGCTGAACAAACATCTGGAAGTATCAAGTTCATCCGGTTGAACAGTCACCTAAATGTGCAGGTAAAACTAGTTCAGAGTATATTCATTTGACCTGAAGAGCTGCTGACATGAAACAAAAAAGGGGAACGTGAGGACAGTGACCTGAATTCAAAGTCTGGCATC